TGGGTTCATTAACTCCATAATTGGACGGATTTCCTAAATTAGCTGGTGTCCAAGAACAGGACAAACGTCCTCCCTGGAGCCAGGAGAGAAAGATCCAGGAGAGCTCAGAGCCTGGAGGGGCTCCAGGAGAGCTCAGAGGGACTGGGGACAAGGATGGAGGGACAGGACCCAGGGAATGGCTCCACTGCCAGAGGGCAGGGATGGATGGGAGATTGGGAATTGGGAATTCCTGGCTGGGCTGGGATTGCCAGAGCAGCTGGGGCTGCCCCTGGATCCCTGGCAGTGCCCAAGGCCAGGCTGGACACTGGGGCTGGAGCACCTGGGACAGTGGGAGGTGTCCCTGCCATGGATGGGATGGGAATGGGATGGGATTTAAGGTCCCTTCCAACCCAAATAATTCCCTAATTCTGGAATCTCAGGTGGCCCTAGAGCAGGACATGAAGAGAAGATGTTTGGGCCATCACTGCTGAGGCTCTTCCCAAGGAAATCCCAGTTTTTTTTGACACAGGGAACAGAACAAACTTCCCAAAGTGGTGAAGACTCACAAAGGATGAAAATTCCTCTCGTTGCTGGGGTTCAGAAAATGCTCCACAAAACACCCTCAAAACCCTTTGTAGCACCTCCACCCACATTTGTGACAAAGGAAAAACATGATTCAAGGAAGAATTTGATGAGTCAAAAAAGAAAACATGATTCAAGATTCCTTTACTCTCCAAATAGGGGTTTTTATATAAATAGAAGCAAAATTCAATTATCTAAAGTGTCAACTGCCACTACTCAAAACAAATATTTGAAATTGATAAAAATTAGTATTTTATATTAAATCAAACCTACACAGCAACTGAATATTTTTTTTCAATATTCAGAACTTTTAAGCTTGTTAGAAGTTCAAATTCTTGCAATTTCGGGGGCAAGAATTATTTTTAAAGTCTGCTTTAAATTTCCACAGAACAAGTAAAATATTTTAAGTATTATTTCATCCTTTGTGCGTATATAGCAGCACATGTTATCCACCCTCCTAAAATTCACTGCATAATTAGAAATTTAAATTAAAGCCAGCGAGTTCTCAGTGGAAAGAACACAAATAAGAAAACTGAAAGAAAGCCATCATCAAAACGAGAAATCCATAAACATTTGATAAATTTGGCAGTTGAAAAGAAGCCCCAATAAAAGGAAATTTCTCATACTTGTTGCCACCTGCCCGCCTCACTGCTTTGCATAGCTAGAAAAGAGCAAAACAGAGGCCAACCTATTTAACTAAACAGTTTTTATTAAAGTAAAAGAAAAGCAAGAATCTATAAAGTAGCAAGTGATCCTATTAGTTCCACCAGACTAAAATCATACAGTCTACGTATGTGGTCCTTTCAGCCACATCTGTTATGAGCCATTTTGATACCCAAAAGCAGAGAATATTTGCCCATATTTATCAGGCACTGAGTGCAAATCAGGCTTTTTCTCCTCAATAACTCCTGGTAGAATGGGTAGATTAATTAAAAAAAAATCAGAATGATAAAACATTTGTATTTGCCACAGTTAAGGCCAAGGTACTCATCGTATTCCATTATTTTCTCTTTGAGGAATATGGAAAATATAATAAAGATGCAGGGTACAAAATTAAAGGCAGCAAACTGATAGCATTGTAATTCAAAGATGAGTTAAATATCCAACATCCAGAACTGGATCTGATAAATGGTAAATGTTGGGGATTTGTACTCCCCATTTTCATCACCTCACATTTAGCGCCTCGGTCCCGAAGTTTCCTTTAAACAAACTCGCCGAATTCTTTGCACAAAACGCCCCATTCTTGACTGCTCTTTCAGCCAGAGATTGAAATGCAGATCCCAAAAATACATCAGTCACTTATTTCAACTCTAGACCTTTGAAAATCCAGATCAATTGCCTTTTGTCATCGTCTTTATATGGAGAGTAAGAAATTTCTGCTTAGCACCATGGAAAAGCTCCCGGAGCCCTTTGGAAGGGGCGGCAGCGTCGATAGTTTGAAACATCCCTGTGCTGTTTCACGGGAATTTATTGACATTTTGGGAATATTCATCCATCCTTTAGCCTTTATGAGAAAGCACAGGTGCCATATCATTTACAGCACGCACTAAGCAGCTTTCAGGTTCTGAGGTTTGCCCTGAGCTCGGGATTTCGGATTTGAAACTTCTCCCTAAAACCAGCGCCGGGAGCCACGCTCAGCTCAAACCCCCGGCTCGCATCCTCTCCGTCCCTCGGTAACGAAGGCTGGGAAAGAAATCACAGACACCCAAGTGGTTTGGCAACTGTAAGTGACAGAAGCCGAGCTAAATCCTCTGTTTACACTGGGGATTATCCGGGTGGATTGCGCGGCGCTCCCGGAGCCGGCGCTGGTCAGGACGCTGCTCCCCGTCCGCCCGCGGGGCAGGGCACAAAGCCCCGGCCTGGTAGGAAGTGACCCAGAAGGAGATGGCGAGCAAGGATTTACACAAAGCCAGTCTGCCTCAGAAAAACTCCATATGACCATTAACTGGCCGGCAGGGCCTGCCAGGAGGCCTAATTACAGCCCTACAGAGCCCGCTAACAAAAGCTGGAGAGCTTTAGCCCAGGGATGATCTGCTTTATACTGACTTGAGAGAGTCCATATAGAGCGGGCAAAAGAAAGAGGTTTAGCTTGGAAATTCTCCCAAGAGACAAAGCATTGTCGCTCAGTCTGGAAGGCCCACATGGAACATACTTCAGATGGGCTTAAACATCCCACCCTCTCCAAATTAACATTCAACTACTGCCTGCTTAACATCTGCTCGGGCACGGCGACTTGGGGGAGGCTGTCAGAGGAGCCTAAAAAGCTCCCTGGCACCTCAATATTAAGAAATCTAATTCAATAAATCGTGAAAATATGAAGTTATAGCTGGTTAGTAATATATATAACTATATATATAGTTATATATAACTATGTACCTATATATATAGTTTTTTATATATATAACTATATAACCATATTAATATAGTTATAACAGCTTCTGAGGAATGAAGGGTTTTATAAAGCAAAACTCAGTTGTCTCAAGAATTAAAGTGTTTGACTACCTCCCAATATTTCCCTGCTTAATGAGAACAAAACACTGACACTAATCTACACTTAAAAAAATAATTAATGGAGTCAGCACAAATGCAGGACTTGGAGAAAAAGTTCCTCGGCACTGTATAACCTAAATATAAAAATGGCCATCTTACCCTCCTCCCCCACAGACAGGTGAATATTTTTTATTTTACCTGCTCTCCTAATGAGAGACCAGAGTCACAATTCCTATCCCCAAATACACCAGGGGAAAAAATATCTCAATAGTAAGAGCCTGTTTTAGTACTTGCTGATTTCTACCTTTCAGAGACGGCAGCTGCTATTCCCTAAAAAAAAATATCTAGGTTAAATTCTAAAAAGAAGGTTTTCTCAAGATCCTAAATATGTCCACAAGGGAAATGTAGACAGAAATACAAACAGGGAATTGAAGAGCATCTGTGCTGCCCCTGGATCCCTGGCAGTGTCCCAGGCCAGGCTGGACACTGGGGCTGGGACAGTGGGAGGTGGCCCTGCATGGCAGGGTGGGATGGATGGGATTTAAAGCCCAAACCATTCCATGATTCCACGATGTCAGCAGGGATGTCCCCAGTGTCCCCACAACCCCGGCAGGTGATTTGGAGCCCCTGCTTTGTCTGTCCAAAGCAGGGAGGAGCAGCATCTCTTCAACTCCAGATCCAGGACAGGCCACTGGGAGCACAGCACAGCCTCCCAGTCCCACCCAGAGGGGCTGGGGCAATCCCTGTAACAAGCACAGATATTCCATGAGCTCATTGCCAAGCTCGGGATGGAGCCCTGTGCACACCAGCAACAGCTCCACTCCCCATTACTGAAGTACAGAATTCATTTCAATTATATTGAAATAGAACATCACCACAGCAGCAACAGCAATGAACCTGCTGAGCCTCAGCTCCTCAAAAAGCTGCTGGGTAATGGCTCAGCAGAAATTTATTTTTAAGTTTGAAGACTAAAAGGTGCTGATTTTGCAAGGAGTAAACACACAAAAATATATTGAAAGAACGTTTATCAACATTTCCAACATCTTCTCACAGCAATTAAATAAAAATTAAATTTAATTGACTGAATGCAGGACTTGGGGAAGAAGGTGGGGGATGATCCCATAAACGCCTGGGATGACCAAGACTTGAATAAGCCAGGAAGGAACTTAATTCTGTATTTTGGATTGTAAGAGACAAAGATATTAAGTCTTTTCTGTTCTTTATGAACAACCTGCAGCTTCAATCTAAGATCCAGCCCTCAGTGGTGGATATTTAAATTTAATAATGTCACAAACCTTTGATAAGCTTTGGAAAATTTTGGAGCCCAGGTCACGATGATATACAACCCCCAGTTATCTTTTGTACATCTCCCAGGTGTGAAATTAAAAAATGAGATGTGATCGATGGCAGCAGAATACACAAATTGTGCTTTTGAGGTCAGGGCTGTCACATCCATTTCATAATTACATGCTTCAAAGATTTATTAAAAGTTCTGGAGAACAAGGAATGTATTGGAAGAAAGACAATGCAAAAGGCTGGGTGGATTTTGGAAAAAGAAGTACATCAGCAATGTGAGGAGATTCTTCTAAACAGAGGGTTTTCAAAAGGGGGGGAAAATATACATGTATATACTTGTACTGATTTAAAACAATGCTAAAAAATAAAGAAAATTGCAAAAAAAAAAAAAAACCAAAATTTTGAGAGCACAGAATAATGTCTCAGTAGCAGCAAGAGCCTGAGGACAAACATGAGGTTTTAGTGTAAAAAAAAGGCTTATTTTTATTTCCTTCAATGGCTTTACTAAGTACCAACAGTAATGCAAACCAATTTAACCTTAACCTGCAATTTAAGAGAGCTACAGAGAACAGGATCAGCCAAGCACAAAGGGATAAAATCCCACCTGAGAGCCCAAAAATGAAGCAAAGTGTTGAAGATGGTCATTTACTCACCAGCTGCCTCCAGCACCAGCTGCAGCCTGGCTTTGGCCTGTTCAGCAGGAGTCTGCAAGAGAGGATGGATCAGCTCACACCTGGTGGGACACGGGACACTCCATGGGACACGGGACACCCCAGAGAGCTCCTGCCTCCTCCAGCCACCCCACACCCCACCAGCCACAGAACGTCCAGACTGGGAACTCTGAGGCAGGAGTTACCAAGGAAATCTTCAGAACTGACCCAAAGCACCATCCCCACGAGGTGGCTGTGGCACCACGACCAGCTCCTCTCCCAGCCCTCCAACCCCAAATCCTGCCTGGCTCCTGGGTGACCCCATTCCACACAAACACACAGCTCCACAAAAAGCCCCAAAACTGGCTTTAACGTGATTAATGCGGCGAGTTTTTCACACTTTGCTCTTATCTGGGGTGATTTTCCCCCTCCTGAAGGTATTGCTGCACATCTGCTGGCTTGAGGAGCACAATGTTGGCTGTGGCCCCACTATGCTAATCACCCCAGTGCTGCTGCACTGTGTCCAATGTCTTTGCCATCCCTCTCAACATGAAGCCACTCAAACGTTGCCACAGTTAAATTGATGCACAAACCCTATTTGTCACGGAGTTCAGAAGTTGATTATTTCTGGGAGTGTCAGAGAAGTTTGGGAGGTTTCTACTCCACACTAAAAACAAAACCTGACAGGAATTTTTGGTGGCGTTTTGCAGATTAAGAAACTCTTCTCAAGAGCCTAAATGGCTGCAAAAGGGAAAATTAAATAGGAAAACACAGATAAGAGAAGCTGTGGCTGCCCCTGGATCCCTGGCAGTGCCCAAGGGCAGGTTAGATTGGCCTTGGAGCACCTGGGACAGTGGAAGGTGTCCCTGCCCACAGCAGGGGATGGGATGGGATTTAAGATCCCTTCCAACCCAAACCATGCCATAATTCCATGATTTTAATTAGGCAGAGCTCTTTGCCATGAATGTCCCAACTGGTGATGCTCTGCAGGGCCTCACCACCCTCATCTACACCCATGAGAGGAGGCTGACATAATTAGGCAGAGCTCCTTGCCATGAATGTCCCAACTGGTGATGCTCTGCACGGCCTCACCACCCTCATCTACACCCATGAGAGGAGGCTGACAATGACAGAACAATTCCATTTCTACTCCAAGAATGTACAGACTGCTCCTTCCAATAGGAGAGATGCTGCATTAAACATAATTTAAATGAAGATCCAGATTTTGGTTGTATAGAGATGAATTATTTTTAGTTCAGATTTTTGCTGTTTTCATAAATCCAGAATTACTGGGCAGAATTTATTATTATAGCTGCAATATGGATCTAGACCTGACCACTAACCCTGGTGGCAGCAAGAAACATTTTGAATTTTATCATAAATTATCTTCCCATTTCTTCTTGTTGCCATGAACTAAACTGTTCTGGCATCTTCAGTATGTCATGGGAGGAGAGGAAGGAGAGCAAGAGAAAGATCTGCTTTTTATCCAGAACCAACTTGCCCAGCTTCAGTTTCAGAGAAGCTTTACTTGGGTTTGTGGTTCCTCCATTCCATGACCACTGTAAATTTAAAAAATCCCACCAGCGTTAGTTGCATTTGGCAAAATTTTGCTGGACAAGCAGAGAAGGAAAAGCATTTGGTGTGAAACACCACCTGTGCTCACGTCTGCACGTGAACAGCCCAGGTCTTTGTGCACCTCGTGCATCAGGTGGGCCCTGGCATCCCAAAACACAATTTCCTACTCCGACAGCAGTTCAGGTATTTAACCAAAAACCTCAAATCCCTGGATCCCTTCTTGCTGGCCACACAACTGTTCAGCACCACTGCTGAGAAGGATGTTCCACTGGCAGTTTAGGATATCTGTGCCCAGCACCACCAGGCCCACAAGAACTCCATGAAAGAGCAAACGCCAAGCAGGCTCCAGAGGAGGAGGAGGAGGAGGAGGAGGAGGAGGGAAGCAACAGCAGCTGCACACATGTCACTCCCAGCCCTAAACACGGAGTTCCACAACTGATCCTGCTGCTCCAAACACTTTTCCCACTCCTCCCATGGAGTTATGGATGTGCCTTCTTGATGTAAGGGAGGGAAGACTCAAAATTCTGATTTTCCTCAGCAGTCTCCCACTGGGAGCAGCCCAGGCAGTTGCTCTGGAGGCATCTTCCCCTTTGCCCTCGCCCCAGGTGTTAATTACTCCATGGGAGAGCTCGCACAGACACCTTCTCATCAATCAATAAGCCCCAGCCAAGGAGTGAAAGGAGGATCCTGAAATAAAGGTGACTGCCTTGGCCCCAGAAAACATCTCTCCAACTGGTGGACGAGGCCAGCACTCGGAGAAAAAAGGACAGAGGGGATTTCAGCTGAAAACCACAATTAGAGCCTCAAACAAGCCGGGAGCAATGTGTGAGAACAAGCAGCTACCCGAGGTCAGTATTGATTTAGGGGACCATTAAGTGAAAAAATTCAGCAAGAGCCTCAGGAAACTTCAAAATGGTGAAATGACTGGTGGAGGAAGCATCACCAAGAGTGATGTCGAGCAAAATAAACCCTTGTACTTTCCTTAGGGTCTTAAGCATAACACAGAAGGAAGAGAATTCAAAGAGAGTAAAAGGAAAAATAAAAGTATTTCTAGTGGGCTCCTTCACCAGCTGCCACAACTGTAAAAGCAGGAGAGGAATTCCCTAAAATTCCTTAGCAAGCACACTGTAAAATGACCCGAGGTCATCCCCAGCAATGAATTTTACACGTGTCCAAAAGTGTCTGGTGAGACACTGGAATCCCAGCTCAGAAGAGGTTGGGATTCCATAGGACACCATCACCCAGGAACACCCCTGTGATTAATAACTGCTTTTAATATTTCAAGCAAAAATTGGATTAGATCTTTCAATTTTTAATGGCAGCTGATTTATGAAGACGCAGCACAACCCTTAACTTGTATTTCTTTGCAGTTCATCCACTGCATTCCATCACTACTCTCCTTTAATAAATAGTTATTTTAATAAAACTACACTAAAAAAGACTCACAACTTTAAATTTGGTAGGTTTTGTGTAAAAATCCCCACAAAAGCTGCTTGTCACTCACAGCTCCAGGAAACAAGTGCCGAGTGTGATGGGCAGGAGAGCCATGGTTGGCTTCCCAAATATTCCACTTGAAGAGAGATTCACCTTCTCAATTAATTAATATATTAAAACACTCTAATTCAGCTTTAGAATGTTTTTTTTTTAATTATTCCTGCTATTTGGGATGAATGGTAAATGTTCTTGACAGAGGAAACAATATTAAAACGAAAACTTGAGAACACTGAGGAAAAAAATTTGAGAAACATGAAGTTTGTGGAGCAGAGCACGTGGCTCTTGGCAGCCCTGGATAAAAGGAAAACTTTTATCCCAGGATTCCAGCAGGTGATGAGGCTGCAGCATTTTGAGTTGCAATGCTGCCTTTCTGAATTTTTACCATTATGGAATTTCCTAAGGAAAATGGCTGAGATGTGCTAAAACTGGACAGGTTCCACTCCTCCTGCTCATCCCTGACACTGCTGGGGAAAAATTTACCTGCAGGACTTTTCTGTCTCAAAACATCTGGATAAAAGCCCAACAAACTTCTGGTGATGGTGATCAATTTGGGGGTTTTTACACAATTATCTTCTCTTTGTATTTGAAAAAGACAAATCCAGCCCTCCCCATTCCCAGGAAAACCTGAAACCATAATTCCACGTTTGGCTTGCAGAGAAATCCCCAGGCTGGGGCTGTGGGCAGCAGAAAGAGACCTCAAGTGTCAGTGAGGGGAAGAAATCAAACAGAGGGGATACACCTAAAATTATATTTGAATTTATCCTGTAAGTCACGGGCCTGCCTCCACCTGCAATGTTATCCATCCCACTTCCAGCAAATCCCAACAGGAGAGAGCAACAAAGGAGCCTAAGCCCAGCCAGCTTTTAAACAGATTTTGATCAAATTATGGAAAAGATTGTGGGACAGGTTTGCCATAGGAATGCTGGAATCCTTTCCTGCCATTTATTCCTCTTTGGGTGATTAAAAAAAATAATTATCAAAGAAACTGAAAATACTTATATAAGAAGACACTTCATAAGAGAATAAAATACTAAAATAAAAATAAAACCAAAGGAGACTGAGAATTTGCAGTTGTCATCTTTTCCTTATATAAGTCTTTGAGGGTGGCAAATTCCAGATTGACAGAGGAACGGTTTTCACATTAAAAACATAAAAATAAAATCCCACAGAAGAATCCCTAATCTGAATTAATAGCACAGAAATATAATAAGCACATCTGGCACTATTTGAATTAAACCCCTGCATTTTCAGACATAAATCTGTTGAAAAGATTGGATGGTAAATTTATATTTCTGTCCGAGTTTTTCCTCTGATACAATTAATCAACAACACTACTCAGGACTAGGCTATGGGAGGAGTGTCCTGACTGGATACAGATTCACCTGCTCCCAAAAAATCATCTTAAGTTTATCAAAATGAACTATAAATGGAGAAAAATCATGTAAAACATGGAATAATGGCAAATTTTGTCCATGGAATTCACAGATGCTCTTGGTATTTCAACAGAAATAAAGAATCCAGCACCAGGGATGGACTAATTAGGAAAGGGAAATCATTAACCAAAACAACGGGCAGAAAACCTGAAATTTTAATTTATGTAAAGGCCACTGAAAATATGACCAAGGATGAAGGGGAAGAGTCCATCTTAATTAGACACCAACACCACAGTGAAGGGAAAGCCTGGGGATGGAATGTGGCTCCTTCAGCCAGAGGCAGGAAAAAACACTGGGACATTGACAGAAAGGACAGAAAACTTGCCCGAGTTCTCCTCCTCCAGGATTGCCAAAACTGGGACGGAGAGAGCCAACAGTGACAAGGCCCAGGCCTGAAATTCAGAGCCCAGTGAGGAACCAAATGAGGCAGAGCTGTAAAATCCCAGCTCTGAGTGGAATGCCCAAATTTCCTGCTAAAACACCACAGGGTATTCGGGCTCTGAGCTTTCCATCCCAGGGAATTTTCCTGCTAAAACACCACAGGGTATTCTGA